CAAAGGCCGGGCCTTTAGGCCCTGGTGTGTCCCTCCGGCCCTAAGTCGGGTCCGGTAGGACCCGTGTGACTCGAAGATGTAACACTCTCTCTCGTAAAGGTAGAGACTCTCACGTCGACTGCTGATGTTGATATCGCATGCCATGTTCCCAATGCCTTTACTGTGAAATGTAAAGCCCCACCGCGCATTTGGTACAAATTGCAGCTGTTGATCTCACATTGACTGCCGGCAACGAAGTGCAATGTGCCGTCGGCGAAAATCGCCATTTTTTTCTAGTGTACTCTAGGAAGATTTTCATGACCGGCCGGTCTGGACCGGCCGGTCACCCGGGCATGACGCCCGGGTGACCCGGTCATGGCAAAAAAAAAAAAAAAAAAAAGAAATGCCGGTGGGGGTTTTCCGCGCTCTCCGAGAGGAGCCCAAATCCGGGCTCTTTTCGGTTTTTGAGTGTTGGCTGTCAAGGGGGGGAAAGGGGAGTGTAAATGAATTTTAAAGGGGCTAAAGGGGTTTAAAGGGGGGGACCTTAGTGTGATATGGTTATTTTATTTTTTATCTTTAGTTCTGTGAGGAATTCTGATGTGACCCTCAGCCAAAAGTTGTTTGTATTGTCCTTCGGGACACCCGTTAAAATTGGAACGATACAGAGAAGATTAGCATGGCCCCTGCGCAAGGATGACACGCATTATCAAAAAACAAAAAAAAACAAAAAAAAGTTGTTTGTATTGCAATTCTACACAACATGTTTTTTTTCAGATATTTTTGGATTTGATTTTTTTTTTTGTTTTTTTTTTTTTTGCGCTGAGGCTGCCCGGGGCCATGCCCGGGGGTCATGCCCGCCCGGTCACCCGGTCGCCAATCCGGGCGTGACATCGGGACACAGGGGCCTGGGATATCTCCCTAGAGTGTACTGCTTTAACCATTGGAATTTTCAAATATATGCCCAACCTTTTTTACCCTATCATATTTGCCTGGTTTAGATTGTGTAGGGTCATCATGTCCAGTGCAAAAAAAAAAAAAAGAAGAAGAAGAAGAAGAAGGAAGAAAGAAAGAAAGAAAAAAAGAAAGAAAGAAAAAAAGAAAGAAAGAAAGGAGCATGTGCAATTGCAAGAAGCTCAAAGTGTGTCGCAATAGCCTCTAGAATTTCGTACAAGGACGCTTTTAATGGACGCGCGTCTGACTCTCTACGAAATTATGAACCCATATCGAAAAATGGATGGATCCAAATAATTGGCGAAGACTGGTCTGCGGTATTTCTTTGTTTGTTTAGATTTCACCAACTTATGAACTAGAAATAAAAATAAATAACGCAGGTCAGGTTTCGGCTGAGCTCTGGACGTGATTGCAGTCAGATGCATCCCACTCTGGTCGTCATTGCAGTCTGATACCGTTAGGAAAGTGCATGCTTGTGTGATTATGCCCCTGACCTGAGTGATTTGTGAAGACAAGTTTTTTGACACTGGCGATGTTGTTGGGGATGTGTTTGTTTGAAATTTTGGAATTTTGGAATTTTGGAATTTTGAAAAATTGAAATTTTGCAAATTTGAAAATTTGACAAATTTGAAATTTTGAATTTCTGAAAATTTTTCTGTTTTGGCATGTTTTTGCAGAATCTGTCGAAGAGATTGATAGCATTGGCTGGCTACAGGTTTGTTAAGTTTTATTTTTCTTAATTGTTTTTTAACCGTGATAGTCGTGAGACCGGTTTTGAATGCAAAAAGTGAAAGAGAAGCAAAGAAGAGAAACGAGCGAGGGCACGTAGTGATGTATGTTGCTCATTTGCCACAGTAACTCTGAGAAAGTAAAGTCGGTAAATGGTTTTGGTTGCGGCGGCAAATCCCTCATGAGCAAGACGGCGTCTCAGCGTATAAATGTGATGCGCAAGTAAAATCCGCGATATGAGCTGGGGGCTTGAGATCCCATGTTTCTGGATTCAGTCCGCCTTTTTTTTTTTTTTTTTTTTTTTTGCACTTTAATGTCTACCACAAGTTTGTAGTTTCTGGCATTCTGCTGGCCATACATTGTGAAGGAAGAGAAAAAGAAAGAGTGAAGAAAGAGTGAAGATCAAAGAGAAAAAGTCCAATTAAGTACCAGTGCATCGCGTGAAGCAGTGTGATTGTAAATCCGAATCAGAAATGATAATTCAACGAGGCACTATCTCTGAGTCCCAGCTTTAATAGAAATCGTACTTCTTGTGCCAATATTAGCCAGTTTAACCTTTATTTTGCACTTCTTTTCATCGTTTTGTTTTCGCTTTTTCTGGTTCTGTCTTTGCTGATCCTTGAGATAATTGGGAGGGCTGTATTTTTTGAATTTTTTTCTCCCTCGTTTGTCTTTTTTATTGTTTTGCCAAAACATCCCCCAAAAAGGCCCTGTTTCTGGTTTTCTACTTTGTCTTGTGAAGTCTTTTCTGTTTTGGAGGAGGTCCTATGCGGCAAAACAGCCAGTACGTCCGACCATCTCTTTGACAATGGCGCTGCCCGGCTTTTTCTCCGGTAGGCCAAACATTGCTACAGCAGCGGCGAAACAGCCAGTACGTCCGACCATCTCTTTGACAATGGTGCTGGCCGGCTTTTTCTCCGGTAGGCCAAACATTGCTACAGCAGTGTGCTGGGCGAGCTCGCCCAGGCAAACTTGAAAATCCAAAAAATGTTACATTCCGGGTTTTCCTGATGAACAGCGCTACCCGACCAAAGGGGCCGGCGGTGCCAGCCAAAAGAAAAAGAAACGCCTCCGTGGCGCTTTGTTTACTTTCGGTGCGCAGGATGAATCACACCTAGGCGAAAAGAGGCTCGGGGAGGTACTGGTGAATTAACCCTGAAAAATTTCCGGGGTTTTCTTTTGTTTTGTTGGAGTCTGGTCTGCCTATGGCAAGCATTGATGTGCACTTTTTGCTTTCCTTGGGGGGATGCTTGGTTCTGCGGCTTCTGCCCCCTTTTTTCTTTTTTTTTTCTTTTTTTTTGGGGGGGGGTAAACTCAGTACTCGTTGACTCTGCGAATGGGTTTGTGTACTTCGTGAAGTTCGTGGTGTATTGAACTGTGTATTTGTTTCTCTGGAATGGGGGTGGGCAGGGGAGAAGGGGGGAGGAACGGGAGGGGGAGGAGGGGGGGGGGGGGGGGGGGGGGGGGGGGGGGGGGAAGGCGTTGCAGAGGACGAATTGGGAAGGGGAGGCTGCTATGAGCTGTAGAAGACGGATTCAGCAGGGCGGGGGATGCTAAAGATATAGGGCTTAGGGTTTAGGGATTAAGAAGGAAGGCTGCTATAGGCATAGGGTTTAGGGTTAAGGGGACGGACTAAGAATGGGAGTCTGCCTTAGGTTTACTAAGGCTTAGGGTTTAGGAGACGGACTCAGACCGGGGGGGATGCTATTGATTTGGAGGTTTTGTGGTTTAGGGTTTAGGGTTTAGGGTATGGGGGCAGGATTTGGAAGGGAAGGGTTTAAGGGTGGATTGCGAAGAGGAGGCTGCTATATGGGTTTAGGGATATGTGGTAGGGCTAAGGGTGTAGCGGCCAGATTGAGAAGGGGAGGCTTCTTTAGAGAAAGTAGCTTGCAATTTGAAGGTTAAAGGTTGAAGTCGAGTTCCAGTAAGTCTTTCTTCTAAGTTCTAAGCATTTTGCTTGTGCTGTCGGCGTTGCTCGGCTGTCACTCTGTCATGTCTTTGAATTCCTGTGCGCACTTCATGCAGGCTTGCATTTCTTTTAAATAATCTATTTGTCGCCCCACCGGATAGGGAGAAGTACGTTATCCCTGGTGCTATTGAGATTGTAAAAAACTGCACAAATGGAGGAGCTGGAGCCCGCTCATCATCAGGGTCCAATGAATCAATTGGTAAGCTGCAAATCCCCTTCTACGATAATTGCACCCCAACCCCCCTCGTTCCCCCTACCCCCCCATCAGCCAAAGAACAGCAGCAGCAGCAGCAGCAGAAGAAGAAGAAGAAGAAGAAGAAGAAGAAGAAGAAGAAGAAGAAGAAGAAGAAGAAGAAGAAAGCAAGAAGAAGACGAAGAAGAAGAAGAAGAAAGCAAGAAGAACAAGAAGGAGAAGGAGAAAGCAAGAAGAAGAAGAAGAAGAAGAAGAAGAAGAAGAAGAAGAAGAAGAAGAAGGAGGAGGAGAAAGCAAGATCACATCCCATTTCAACAGCAATGTGAGATTATGTCAGCCCACTAGCAGCAGTGGGGAGAAAAAAAATGTATGCTTTTACCGCTGACATTGTCTTTGCCATGCGGAAATGTTTAATCAGTTTTTTTAATTGTTTTTCCTGCAAAGAGCAGCTGAAGGCGCTCTTGGTGCAGCAGCTGGTGCAGCAGGCGATACTGTGCTTGCTGCAGGTGCTGCTACTACTCTGCATCTTTTTTTTTTCCCCTCGAAATGCTCCCAGATTTTTTTCCTGGGGGTCCTTTCATGAAGCACAGCAGGGGACATGTGGCATCTCCAAGTTGGCGCAAACAGAGATGCCCGGGATCCTGGACACTTGGGCCACAAGACGTCCAGGCCAAATGTTCAGGTCAAGTGTCCGGGTACCGGGCACCTGGTCATGCAGGTTTTTTGTCAATTTTCAATTTTGGGAAATTTGTGTCAATTTGTTAAAATTTTGCCTTTTTTTGCGCTTTTTTTTTACAATTTTTGGAAAAAGTTTGGCAATTTTTGGGAGATTTTGGCAGTCGTTGGCGAATTTTGGCAAAGTTTTGGCAGTTTTTGCAAATTTTTGGCAAAGTTTTGCCAAATGTATCAGATGTCAGATTGTCAGCTGATATTTTGCCATGCTGGCTTGGATCTCGAGGTCTTTTTTTTAACACGTCGCAGTGGGGATGTCGGAGTGAATTGGGACATAAGAAGCCTCTTACATGGCTGACGTATATCAACAGGGGGTTAAAAAAAAAAGATGCTTTGCCATAGTGATGCAGCGACCGCTGGTTTTATAACAGAACCTTGTACACATTTGTTTTGCGTGTGGACGCGTGTGTGTGTGGATGTTCTTTGTAGGAACAGATTCACGAACAGTGTCTTTTGTAGCGGCTGGGTTGGGATTTGCAGTCGTGATCGGTATTGCTGCGGTCGCAGTATTCCGCAGTGACAAGAAACCAAAGCACAAGTACAAGACACTGGAGATGGCTGGAAGAGAGAACAGATACACTTTGCGGAATCCTAGGCCAGCGTATCAGGATGAGGAGGAGCCAGAAGAGGACAGCTCATAGCGAGCAACCAACCCACCACATGGCATTCGATTGCATCGCATGCTTGTGTAGCTATTTTCGCTAACCAAGTTTTGAAGGAAGGTTGCTCTTTTTTTTTCCAGGTTTCGTCATTGTATTGTTGTATTGATGATGATTGTCTTGATTGGAGGAGGGGGGGGATTCAAGTGAAATCAAGTTGTGCTTCTGTCACGAAGCAAGCACCATATCACACCTTAAATCAAAACCTCTCTCTCTCTCTCTCTCTCTCTCTCTCTCTCTCTCTCTCTCTCTCTCTCTCTCTCTCTCTCTCTCTCTCT